TCAGACCTAGTGTGTAGGTTTTTATCTTATTCCAATCTAACTCCAAGTTGAGTCGCTTTGGGTGGAACTCAGACCCTTGCCAAGAATAGAACAATATACTCCTTTCTCTCTTCATCACAAGCACTCACGCTAAAGAGAGAAAATACACAACCTTATAATCACTCAAACAATACATACAGTGAACTACTATCACTTCTGACACTTATTGCTAATCGTAGAGTGTTTGATCCTCCTTCGTGTATGATTGCTTTACCATATTTCGTGAGACTTGTCTTGTTGCTTCCTTCTATTGATACTTCCTTGATGCAATGGTCTTCTCGTGATCTTTTTTTTATTTGAAAGATTCTTCTTTTGATCCTTTTGTATTTTGGAGATCTTGCGATCATACTTTTAGAGGTATATCAAGTAGTAGGAATTATAGGGATTTTACTGAGGATATTACCTTTTAGATAGATGTGAGCATAAAGGGAAAACTTTCGTTTTCACAACAATCTCTCCTGCTTTTCTTTCTGCGACACATAAATTCTCAAGGGATACCAACCATCATAAGATATGTTAACTTGATTTTAAAAGTTCGAGACAAAGTCTAAAGAATGTAAGCGAAGGAAGAACATATCCTCAATATTTCAAAAGAGATGAAGAACATATCAAAATGAGAACACATCAAAAGAGATATTAACATATACTAGTTCCTAACCTGAAGTTTCCTGTGCTCCCCCTTAACAGGTTCTCCCCTTAACATGCCAACTTGTACCCTTAGAGCTAACTATGCTAACATTGTCCTCATTTCCCCCCTTGGTGGCTGGAATCCCTAAGATGGTGATAGGTTCTTGTGGTTCTAAGAATGGTAGGAAAAGAATAGGGGGACAAACCTATGCTCAATACAATACGCATCAAAGTTACACCCAATCTCATCAAGAAACTTGGTGATAAGGGTGGCATAGGTAAGAGTAATGTTCCTAAAGTCTTCGCGTGGAGCAATCTCAGCTAAGTGAAGACACATCAGGGAGGCAATATTGAACTTTCTTCCTTGAATAACATTGACCAAAATGAAGAGACCAATATGCTCAATGGTGAAGAGATGCTTAACAGGAGGAATGAAGAATCTAGTGACGAGACAGTGTAGCACCTTAAGAGGATCAAGAAGAACGAATATGTCGATGACCCCCTAAGTCAGTTGTTATAGCTCATCAGTGTAGTCAAAGTCATAGAGTTCAAACTTTGGCATATAACTAAGGGGAAGAACCTGAGATGGGAGGTTAAGTGTGGCAGGCAGTTGTTAGGGGGCGAAGTTGACATGTAACCTAGGAAAGTTGATGCAAGCCGAGATGGTACTGATTCAGCCAGATGAAGATTGTGATAGAAATTTCATAAAATGAGAGTGCAAACGACTGAGGAATTAGGTGCTTGGAGGTCAAAGAACCCTTCCCATCCGAGATTGGCTATGACAGTTGACAGAGAAAACTTCATCCAGAAAGGATGATAAAAGGGGAAGCTCGTACTTACTGATAATGGGGAGCATGCTAGAGAAGAAGTAGTAATCACCTTGACTGATGACTAAGTTACACGCATCATTGGATTAAGTGAGAATGACATCGCAGTTAGCTATTAGCAAAGGAGGTGGAGGAGAGTAGAGGAAGATGAAAAGGTGATGTCTAGAAGATATACAAGTGAGATGAAACTAATCAAAGGAATTTATGAAAGACAAAATCGTTCCTTAGCGGGAACCATAATTTTAAACTAGTGGTCACTTAGAGAGAAGAGTGACACTATCTATCATAGCTAATTCATGGCAGAGGTAGGCAAAACGATCATAACTTAGCAGTTTAGTTAAGATGTTATCCATTTGTTGATCTATATAAATGTTGGAAATAGAAATTACTTCAGCTACTAAATCTCGGAGGAAATTATAGTTGATCTCAATATGCTTAGTTCTAGAGTGTTGGACTGGATTTTTACTCATACTAATGGCGCTTGAGTTATCACATAAAATTGGAAAGTTAGAGACATAGAGTACATAGTTCTGCAACTGTTGCTTGAGCCAAAGGAGTAGCGTACAACAGTTTCCTGCAACAAGGTATTCAGCTGTGATCGTGGAAAACATAACACATGCATGCTTCTTTGAAGCCCAGAAACAAGTGACTCATCTAGGAATTGATAGCCGCTACTCGCTAGAGGTACTTTTTCTGTTAGTCCTGCTAGGAGCAAAGTCTGAGTATCCTATAAATTCTAGATAATCGGATGAGGGATACCAGATTCCTAAGATAGGGTATGAGCAAGGTAGCGAATAATTTTTTTTTGCTGCTGTTAGATGAGATTGCTTAGGATTAGCTTGGAATCTAGCACATAGACACACACTAAACATGATGTATGGTCTGCTAGATGTTAGGTATAGAAGAGATCCGACCTTGATAGAGAGTTTCACCACTAGAGGTACCATGTTCTTCATGATCTAGATGAAGAGATGTGATGAAAAGAGGTAGCAATATAAGGGGGATTTTTTGCGAGTTTGGCAGAAGACATTTGATACTTTGCTACCAAGGAAGTGAAATACTTGCTTTGATGTATCAATATCCCAACCGGAGTTTGATGAATTTGGAGACCCAGAAAGAAAGTTAATTCTCCCATCATACTCATTTCAAAGCTACTATGCATGAGATTGTCGAATTCAGTGTAGAGGTTTCTGATGTGGCCCCAAATACTGTGTCATCCCCATAGATTTGAACAATGAGATTACCTAAGGAAGAATGCTTAAGAAAGAGAGATGTATCTATGGATCCTCTAGTGAAGCTGTGTTATAATATGAAAGTACTTCATCTCTCATACCATGCTCTAAGAGCTTGTTTCAGTCCATACAGAGTCTCTTTAAGTTTGTAGACATGATCGCGAAGGAAGTGATTTTACAAACTAGGAGGTTGTTCGACACAAACATCTTCATTTATAAAGCTATTTAGAAATGCACTTTTGACATCCATTTGATATAACTTGATTTTGTTTGTACTAGCAAATGCACAGAGTAACCTAATTGCTTCTATCTTGGCTACTGGTGCAAAGGTTTCTTCAAAATTTATTCCTTCTTCTAGTGATGTTACATGTTTCATCCGATTTATTCCTAAAGACCCACTTAGATCCAATAACTGGCTAGTCTATATGTCGAGGTACAAGATCCCAAACCTAACCTCATTCGAATTGGTTGAGTTCTTCTTGCATAGTTAGACTCCAATATTCATATAATAGAGCTTCTTTAATGTTTTTAGGCTCTATTTGGGACATATTGGCATAGTGGATATAAATAAGAGCAAAAAGATTTTTTTTTTGCCGTAGATCAAGTAATTAGTGGGGCATCGGGATGACCTATGATCAGGGAAGGATGGTACCTTTTCTATACACGAGAGGGTGCATTGATGTGATGGAGGTTCAGTTTCTCAGGTATTTCAGAGATTGGAGTTGCTGGTTCTAGATTTTGGGACGTAGATTTTGTTATTGTGGCAAGAGGTTGTAGTGCAAAGGAGTCCTCCTCAAATTGTGAATAGATTCCTCAATTATGTTGGTTTGTCTCTTTAAGATCCTGTAAGCTTTAATTCTGGTACAATATCCTAGAAAAGTAGCTGTATTTAATTTGGGTTCAAACTTCCCTAGTTGACCTTGCGTATTTAAGATGACACAAGGACTTCCAAAAGGATGAAAGTAATTGAGATTATGTTTCTTCCTCTTCCAAAGTTCATAGGGAGTCTTTTCGACTGTACTCGGAACTCTATTGGTTCTGCCCAAAGATTTTGAGGTAGGTGACTTGTTCCTGTTGTGACTATTATCCCAACTGTGGCCAAGTGCAACCACCATCGGGTGCAATATAGTGTAAGTGAAGTTTAATTATCAACTTCGGTGGCAAATGTACTATTACTTCGTGGACTACCTTATTACCTAGTAAATCGAAGGTTTGAATTAAGTAATTACTACGAAACAAAGCAAAGGAAAGTTTAGTCCTAGACGAGCCCATCACTTTCTCTTTCAAGGATCACAAATTAGCCCTGTTCGTCGATTCCATCCTGGTCAAATGGAAAAAACTTGAATACCATTGTTGGCATGCCATCGCTGTCCACTCGCCCCACCTCGCAACCAACACCATCTTTGCCATCTTCGTAAAAAGTTGCAACCAAAGGGGTTGAGAGAGATCTGTAGGGTCGCTTATTTGGTGCTTATGATATGTACATGTGAAGCTATTCCATTACCATAGCCAAACTTAGAGGCGCCATTGAGGGACTCGAGATGGCTTGGTGCCTTGGACATCAAAAGGTGGAAACGTGGTTGGGCAGTTCAGTTCCAGTGACCCTTCTTAAAAGTAAAGGTGATCCAACCAACCAACATGTCTCATCCATCCTTTTGTATACGAGCCTTCATAGGAGTAATTTAGATAGGGGTGGCATTTCGGTTATTTCGGTTATAACCGATCGGCCGGTTGTCGGTTAACCGAAATAACCACTCCCCCTACCGAAAACCGCCCGAAATAGACTTCGATTTCTCGGTTATCTCGGTTATCGGTTAACCGACCCACTTTTAAGACAAAAACCATTTCGTCTAGCCTCCGATAACCGACCGAAGTTCGGTTACTTCGGTTACCGGTTAGTGGATAACCGGCCGGTTAATCGGTAACCGAACTGCCACCCCTGAATTTAGAAATTCAAGTTATCTTTATATTTAAAGAAGCCAACAATATAACTGCTTGCCTAGGTCACAAGAATCATTCTTTCTACTTAGGTACCATTGTAAATTGAAGTATGAGATCATACTATTATATACCGAGACATATATAAGTATGGTGGTAGTGTAACTTTGCACCCATTTTTTATAAAAGAAAACTACTAATAAGGGTTGATCATCATACATAGAAATATAAATTTAGTGGCAATTAAAAAAGAAATATAAATTTAGGAATTTCAATTTTCAAGTGATAGAAAAATGCAAAAGGAAAACAAAAGGGTTTTTACTGTTTTAGCCTTAGGCTAATAGCAGGGAGGCTCTCTGGGTCCGTCAGCGAGTGCTTCGTTGGTTACAAACTAACAATCATCAGAAATTCAAACAAGCTCAGAGAGAGAAGAGAGGGCAAAACGAAGCGAAGAGAGGGAGAGAGGAATTTTGAGGACGAAGAACCCTTAAAAAGTTGCGGAGAGGGAAAGTTACAAACGGAGCGGAGGTGGGAAGTGAAAGGGAATAGTAATGGAGGAGACCGAGAATCATAATAATTTGGAGGCGGTACCGGAGGAGATGGAGGTGGACGACGTGGTTGGTTCGAGCCAGACATTGGAGAGGGTAGCTGCTGCCAAGCTCTTCATTGAGAACCATTACAAGTCCCATATGAAGCACATCCAGCAGCGCAAAGAGAGGTTCCTCTCCCTTCCTCTTCTTCCCCCATCCCGCATTTCTTTCATTCTCTCTCGCTCTCCTTTCTGCATTCTTGCTTCAATTTCTGATTGTGCATGCTTTTCAATTTTGAATTCAAACCTCCGAATATCGTTGCTGCTATACCATTTTATGCGCGGAAGTTAATTAGAAAGCATAGTTTTTGTGAAATGTGCATAGAGGAAACCAGCAGGTGGCAACTTTTGTGCAAGGAAAGGCCAAATTAGGGCATTCATCGTTGCAATTCTTATCCCTTTTGCTTCCTGGAAAAGGGAGGGAAAGAAGGGTGGGCAGGCCTGTCCTCAATGTGTTGATTGTCATTTCCTTTTATTAGTATCCTAGAAGCCGGATTTCTTTCCCCTTTTCTAAAGGGCACTTGCCAATTTCTCAAATCATGTAAAGTAGGACTGTCATAAGAGAAACCTAGATGACTCACACTGGGTCGTGTTTTTTGGCTAATAGTTTTCCATGCTTGCTTAGCACTTTAATTTAGTGACAGTTTTGTGGTCTCGTAGGCAATGTACCTCCTGTGGTGGCTTTGTGTTCTTTTATTAATTTTGGTGATGGGGAGTAAATGTTTTGGGTTTTGAAGAAATTCCCTTACCTTGCAGGCGATCTGAGCTTGAAAAGGTGTTGGCCACATCCCATGTTCCTGAGGAGGAGCAAATCAATCTACTGAAGAATTTGGAGCGCCAAGAAACTGAGTATATCCGGCTCAAGAGACACAAAATTTGTGTAGATGATTTTGACCTTTTGACTATAATCGGCAGAGGAGCTTTTGGAGAGGTTAGATATGTGCATATTGACTTCATTGTATTCTTTCTTTCCCCATGCACTTGGTAATTGGATACAGTTATAGTAATCGATGTGTCCTCTTGAACATTTGACTATTCATAGTAATGGATGAAAGTATCCAATCTAACCCAGCTTCAAATCTTTTGGCCTAACACGAAACTACAGGAGAAAATTGATATGAATGTCTTATTGGCGATCGGTATGTAAGGTTTGGCTAGCAGAAGGATATTTAGAGTTTTTCCTTACTTTTTCCTTAAGTGATTCCTGGGACTATACTGTGCATTGCTATCACATAAGAAACCAATTTTCAATGCTTAGCAATAGTCTAACGTTAATTGCTCTTTCCGGAATCGTAAGTTTTTTGTGAGATTGACATTTTGATCTGATTCTCCATACAACCAAGTCGACTCCTTCAATAAGGGTTTGGCAACCATTGAATAGTTAATAGGAGCTGAGAAAATGAGTGTGAATATAGTGGTAGGGAAGGTGCTGGGGGAGCAGATTGCACCTAACCAGTCATTTAAGACTGATATGAATTATGATAAGTTCCTGGTCTGTTTTTCATGGTTCTCCCTCTTTGTACATCTAGATGAATTTTTTTCGATGTGTACTCTTTCTGATTTGGATATTGCATCTAGATACTCTAGTATCTGATTTTTCTCATTGCTCTAAACCCTCAACTTTGAGTCAGTATTGTTATGTTTAAAGAGGGATACTCAGATATGATGTTGTTTTGCAGGTTCGATTATGCAGGGAGAAAAAGTCAGGATGCATTTATGCCATGAAAAAATTGAGGAAGTCAGAAATGCTCAGCAGAGGACAGGTGAGATAAGACTTGATAATTCACAGCTGTCGTCAATGCCTTGCTGACAGAGAAAAGAAGCAAGTAAAAACAACCATGTGTATTGTTTGTTGAGCTATCTCACCTGGCTTGCTGAGTTTTGGTATTTATTCATGCTGGAAAACAGCCATTGCAGTCTACGTAGCTATCTTCTACGTGGCTTTTGTCCAATGATATTCTCACGCTATGTTTCTCTGTACGTGCATGGCTTTTGTATATGCATTTTAGGTTGAACATGTCAAAGCAGAAAGGAATTTGCTTGCAGAAGTTGCGAGTGACTGCATTGTGAAACTCTACTACTCGTTCCAAGATGCTGATTACTTGTACTTAATTATGGAGTATCTTCCTGGTGGTGATATGATGACATTATTAATGAGGGAGGAGACTTTGACTGAAACTGTTGCCCGGTTTTACATTGCTCAAAGTGTTTTGGCCTTAGAGTCCATTCATAAACATAACTATATACACAGGTAGGTAATGCTTTCTTATTGAATGATGGAGAAATTTATATGGTTAACTCTAGTTTCTGAAGCCGAATTACCATTTACCTTGATTTTCTGAATTCATGAGTCCTATTCTTCATTCTCAGAGATATTAAACCTGACAACTTATTGTTGGACAAACATGGGCACATGAAACTCTCCGATTTTGGTCTCTGTAAGCCTCTAGATTGCTCAAACTTATCCACTATCAATGAACATGAAGCTCTTGATGATGAGAATTTGAAGGAATCAATGGATGTGGATGGACGATTCCCAAATGCTGGTGGAAGGCCGTGGAGGAGCCCTAAAGAGCAACTAGAGCACTGGCAGATAAATAGGAGAACACTGGTAATGAGCCTGCTTGCTTTAAGCTACGCTCATGACTTTCTTTTCATGTTACCTAGTGAACTTTCGTCCTTGATTAAAGTTTCTTGAATGCATTGAACTTTGAGATGGATCTTTGGTCAGACTGTGTTACTGTATAAGCGTACAGCTCTTATACCTTAATTTATGCCTATTGATATGCCATGGAACTTTGAAGTTTGCATACATTATGAAGTTTGATGAAGTATGCCACGTCTCTAATGCAAATAAGTTTCGTTCGATTTTCAGAAATTTCCTTATTTTAAGCATTTTCCTCTTCCATGTTTCTGACAACAGGCATATTCTACAGTTGGCACACCAGATTATATTGCTCCAGAAGTGCTCCTTAAGAAAGGATATGGCATGGAGTGTGATTGGTCAGTATAGATTTCCCCTTTCTCTTGAGATCCACGCAATAGGCATAATGTTTGGTTGCACTTGCTTACCGACTTCAGTTGTAGGAACTAGGAAGTGTCAAAAATAAACCTCTGTGCTGATTGCAACAGGATTTACAGTTCTTTCAGTCTCCATTGTAACAAGAACTAACATATTCATAAAACAGGAGCAGAACAAACTTGTTAAATAATCATAAATGGATGTAGGGAAGCCATATTTGTTCTGGTTGTGAGTTGTATATAGTCCAGAGATAAATTGAAGTTGTCACTAGCTAGTAAGTCAGTTCAAAAAAGGATCTTGCTGACCGTTAAGTTAGGACTAAGATCATTATCATCGTTGAGGTGCATGCACCATAGGCTAAAGGTTTTAAGCTAATGCAAACTCTTAAGTAAGTTTTCACATCAACCATCGGCGAAAAGCTACATGATCGTTTTATCGAACATGACAAGCAGCATTGTTAAGATAGAGAAATAAACTAGTCTCATGGCACAGATTATTAAAGAAAAGGGGAAAGATACCGATGATCCTGAATTCGACGTGGTTTGGAGAATCCCTTGTTTTCATGTTAGAATTAAAGAATTGATGGCAGCCAAGGCTAACGAGTTCTTTCAACTGACTAATCAGCCACTCCTTAAAAGCCAGACATTGCAGGAATGTTTAATTGGCTCGCTGATGAAATAAAAACCGAAAGTTCTTGAGATCTTCGACACTTTCATACTAGTACAATTATACTTGGCACCTGAACCATGACATACCGTACAGTGGAAACTTACTGCACGGTCTAGTCAGCAGAGCACTTTTTCTGTTTTATTTCTGAATGTTGTTTGATCTCCAAAATAATGGAGTATTTGGTTTTTGTGAGGTCACTGATTGCATTATTCTTGCTGCAGCGCTACCACAGTGCTTACTATTCCTCATTAATTTAGTCTCCAAGCTTTTTCCCCCTGCAGGTGGTCACTAGGAGCCATAATGTATGAGATGTTGGTTGGTTATCCTCCATTCTATTCCGATGATCCAGTAACCACTTGCAGAAAGGTGTACATGCTGACTCCATTAATCGTGTTAGAACAGGACCATGTTTGGATGGTTAAGTGATGGGCATTCATGTTATGTGATCGCTAGCATCCTTATAAGAGTGCTTTTGGCAGCATGCACATCTGGGTATTTATGCTTTGTTTTTGTGCATGGGACCTATTATATGCCTGGGAGCATACTGAAACAAGGGACCTGTTTGTTCAAACAGATCCTTTTTATAAGCAGGCTTGATATTTTTATTGATTGTAGTTCTGAGTCGAATCTACTGTAGCCAATTGGTTAGCTGAAGGCACATGTTCTTCACTCAGTTTTCCCCCCCTAAATTGTTTGCATTTTTCTTGTGCTTTAACCAAGCTAAGTTTGACATGAGCATTCCATGTACTTGTATCTCGTCTTCCCACTCATTGTGAAATTAGGTTTCCCATTGATCATCAGCCATCTTAGACTAATATGGATTGACATCAGATTTGTGGGAAGGTTGGATACTTGATGCATTTTTTCACAAGATGATGGTGCTTTACAGATTGTGCATTGGAGAAATCACTTAAGATTTCCAGAGGATGCAAGGTTGACACCTGAAGCAAAAGATCTGATCTGCAGGTTGCTTTGCGATGTTGAGCACAGGCTTGGTACTCTTGGCGCCTCTCAAGTCAAAGTATGGTTGATGCATTATTTGGAGCTATTTTGTCATTTTTCAATTTATAGAAAGACCTTCATTGCACAAAAGGAAAGAATGACCTTCTGTCTCATAATTCTTCCTTCTGATTTCTTGGTCACTGCTAGGCTCATCCTTGGTTCAGAGATGTTGCTTGGGAAAGAGTATACGAAATGGAAGCAGCATTTAAACCAGAGGTCCATGGTGAACTTGACACTCAGAACTTCATGAAATTTGATGAGGTATGGCATTAGACTTGCAACAGTTCCTTTGAAGGTGAAAGAAAACCGATTTTCTATGATTATTGTTCTACTTCTGTTTGGTTCATCTTCATTACTCTGTATCCGGAGTACAGTACATACGAGTTAAGTCAAAGCACGATCTTCTATGTTTGAGTATGATGATCTTTGTGATAATTGATGGGAGATATCACCAATATATTCTTAGTCATATTAAACTTTATATGATGCGTTACGGTAAAACTGTGCTGAGTGTCCCTTGTCTATGAAAATTACTATGGAAAACGACAATATAGGTCTTAGAGAGAGGTTCCTTGAAAGTTTTGGGCACAGAGTTGAAGGTTTATGTGCTTTATCCAGAAAAATAAAATACCTACCATCACTGAATGCTACAAAGCTACTAAATCCAATGACGAGATAAGTCTTCGTCAAAGGTTCCTTGCTGTTGAGTGTTTTACAAGTTACTAAATTGACCTAATGCAACAAAGCTAATGCCTTGCTGGTCATAAGAAGAAAAGGACATTTCCCCGTAGTGGATATAGCTCTCAACGGGAATTGACTGTTTCTTGAACTCGGTAAAGAAAGATACTGGCAAATTAAAATCAAGTTTATATTTAAGATACTTTCATATTAAAGAACACTGACCAGCTGATGCAATTGCAGAAACTGTTTAAATTTTGCAGTGACTTGTCACTTTATGATTGGATGTGGTTTGATTTTTTCACCCACTTGAATGTTTTCCATGCAACTGCTGTGAGATTTATGTAGCTTTTTCTATAGATTCCTTAGTTTACCTTTGGCTTTTAACCTCAACTAAATTCTAGTATTGCATGGCCTTTTTGGGCATTTAATTGCCATTATTTCCTATGATATGTCTATTTAAATTCAATTCTGATGTAGGTGGAACCTCCGCCACTAAGAACTGGATCTGGACCCATGAGGAAGGTAATTGTTTGTCCATTTTAAATTTTGTAAACTAAAACCAAACCTGGGTAACAGAACTATAGACGGAATGACTGGTAAAAAATTCCAGAATAAGGTGGGTAAAACGAAGCCTAATCCGGCAGGGCATAGCTCGCTCAGCTAACTTAAGATCTCACTTAGATTTATTTATTTATTTTTATGGTTGTCAAACTTAGATTTCTTTCTCTCATAAGAAAAAGAAAAACAAAACAATTGTAGATTTTATTAATTTATGATGCAAAGAATTGGTAGCTGCTCGGTGCCAACTATGTTTGATCCAAACTTCAACTTTCTGTGTGTCTTTAGAAGGCATTTCAGACTTCCATGCAGTTGGGATTTCAGCTGATATAGCAAAATGGCTAATTGTAGAGCATATGCCTTACAAGTTTCTGCCTCACAGTACCATATAACTACACTTCCATTTTCTGTTTGGATTCCAACACGACTTTGGTTAAAAATCGTAGCTTGTCAACTGGAGAACCCTATTTGATTCTTGCCAAACCATATGATCTGTGTCGTTGGTTCTCTTGTCAGATGCTATTGACTGCTGAGGATATGAGTTTTGTGGGATATACGTACAAGAACTTCGATGCTGTCAAAGGTCGTCATTTATTTGGTACACGACTTCTTTCAACTTGTGACAAATCTTCCCTTCATCCTGAAATTTGCATCTCATACTTATTTTGTGTACGTACTAGTAAATCATCATCTAGTCAATACAGTCTGGTGTCCAAATTCTGTTTCTATATGCTGCGAGAATACCTGTTTGTTTAGGTAGATTTCGCTTTATTTGGCACATATTTATTGTACTTGTATGTGGTTTGATTCTAGGGTTATTATATGTAGCTCTCATTACAAGCATTTTCACTTTCAATGGAAGTAGTTTTTACACTAGTTAAAAACTTGGAATTGCTGCACTTGGAGTGTCATGTTATTTCCCCTTGTGATCCCTCTTATACAAAGCTCATTCTTGATTCATTATTTAGTTTCACCCTTTCTGTGACAGATGTGAAGAAGGGCTGTTTACCTCGCCAGACATCTGCCGACTCTTGTTACAGTAAAATACCCCCTAGATCTTATTACTTTTATCGCTCTTAACAGGTTGTTTTGCCAACTCACACACTCTGGATGTTGCAGGTGATCCAGGTGTGGAGTACAGTTCCAATTCCAAAGACTCCACTGATAAAAAAGATGGCAGGAAGTTTGCTTCCTCGGGAGATCTACTGTCACAATGAAAAAAAAGAAGAAATGAAAGAACAAGAAGCATGTGTTGTTACAATTGCAACCAGCCAGCCATACATTCTCAGAACTCATCCGTGAAGATGGCGGCCATTCCTGGTTTCTTTTTTGGTCAGGATTAGCCGTGAACCCGAAGCCATCAATAAACATATCCCGGTGTCATTACCCCTCGCTTGTGTAATATGAGCTCTCTGTGTACAGTAGTATCACCGGAGCAGCTTTTTTTTTTTTTTTCGTGATGTTTTGTAGCTACTGATTACCTATCTGGGTGTGTAAGTGTAAAAAAGAAAAGAAGTCTGAAACTGAGAGGCCTTATATTGATTGCCCAGGTTGGAAGATGCAAAAATCAACTGTTACATCTCCACCTTGTGGCGGCCATTTCATTCAGACTCTCCTTTGCCTCCATTTTTCTTGGGAGGAAGTATCGTGAATCATGTACTGAGGCTGTAATATGGTTTTTACTGTTAGAATCTGTTCCGACGAAAAGATCCAGCTGCCTTCGTGCAATTTAAACCTGCTCATATCTGAACTGAGTAACTGCAGCAGCATGAATTCCAGCCCAGGCAGGCAAGACAACTGGCCTACTTGCGTGCCACTATGTGCGTAGTTGCATTTGCAGAATGGGGGATATCACTAATCTAACAGTTACTTGCAGAAAGAAATGCAGAGGTTGAGAGCAATGTAGAAATCAGAAGCCATAGGCGATCGAAGTTGTTTAAACACTACTCGAGGAACCTGATCAAGGTTGTCCTACTGAAGCTGGTCGCCTCACTTGCAAAATGTAGTCTCGCGAGCTACCTGAGAGTTCAGCAAGATATGGAGCCGGAAGGGACTTTGATACCGCGAGTTCATCGTGGCAAATTAACTCGTAAAAAGCTACATTCGATGAAAGCAAACAACTCCAGCATGGATTTCAGACTCATAATCCACTAGGTACTGAGTCATTCGATGTCCGTGAGGCCTTGATCTCCCGTAAATGATCATGAACCATTGCCAAAACTAGACAAACGATGAACTACCGCGTTATTACAAGATTTCTAAATTCGTTACACATTCGTAATAGCTTCACTACTGAAGGGAAGTGGCTAGGTGGTTTGAATGTATTGCATAGCACAGGTTTGATTGAAGAACGAAAATAAAATGGCAAAATTAAGTGCAAATAACAGCTCGATCAAAGTCCATAGATGGCAACTTGAGAAAATATTAAAAAAAATCTTAATTGAAAAAACAAAAAAGATTCAACGAACTGAAAAACGATGTCGTAGAATCACTGTCCAGCCTCCTCCAGCCTCGTTTGCCGATCCCTTGTTCCATTATTCTTCTTCCTCTTCGATTCACTTCCTCGCCGGCGCAAATCTCCCCCTCTTCCTCCCCGCCTCTCCCTCAATTGCTCTGCATCCCTAATTATTCATTAATCCCTTCCGCTGAATCCCTAATCCCTCAAAGGGCTAGAGGGAGGAATTCCGCCATCATCTCTTCCATCCAATCCTCGTTGGAAGCTTCATCAAGTTTTTTTCTTTGTCATTGGTTGATTGATTTCAAGTTGTGGCAACTGGTAGAGCAACTCAGTAGATTGTTTGCATTACCGCCTAATCGCCGCCTTCAGCAGGCGAGTTCGAAAAAGCTTGCTGCGGTGGAATCGAGACTTCCCCTGGAGTCTCTTTACTTTAAGCAAAACAGGAAAGGCAGGGTGTTCAAGGTTGTAACTTGCCTCGAACTTCCTTTTCTCCTTCTTATCTAAGCAGGTTTGTGATTTCAGTTTTTTTTTTTTTAGTCAGTACTGCTGCTGACTGCTATCTGGACTTGAATTCTGTTTCGTTGTGTTGATTTGATATGATCTCAGTTTTTGGGTTGCTTCCAGGCGATGTGATTTTGTTTTCCTTTTCTGGAATGGCTGAGTTCAGTTGGAATGTTGAAGTTGAATTAAGTGCTGCAAGTGGAGGAAAAATTATAGAAAAGAGAAAAGAACACATTGTACTGTTTAGAACCTTCCCAGATTTGCTGGGTTGAATTTGTGGGGATGTGAATGCGATTGAAGTTTAGTTTGTGCGGGGGAACTTTTTTCTGTTCGACCGGGATTTGGAAAAGGTGGCTAATGTTACTAATCTGAGAGTTAACTTCACCAAATTAGTTGTCTATTTGACGGCTGATTGCACTGAACGCCTGTTAGAAGATGAAGGGAAATTCCATAATCTTTGACCTGTTGTAATGGCTCTGATGCATTGATTATCTGGGTTCACCTAAAATTTGAGCGAGTGAAGCAGAGCTTGTCCAGTTTCTAATTCATGGAGACTTGTCACTTTATTCCTTTCTCTATCACAATGAGGATCATCCAAAGTTTGGGAGGTTATGAGATTTATTTAGTGGTGAACGGTTCCGGCCTGTTATAAGCTTTTTGACTTGAGTTCTCATTGTTCAAATTCTTCTTTGCAGGTGCATTGACTTTTGAAACCTAGACTGGTCTTTATGTGCCGCATTGGTACAGTTTGTCATGCATTGTCGTATGTGTTGGGCTTATAACACAGAGGATGTGAGACAACCTATACAATGGCTACATCTAGTAAGTTCGATACATCTTCTGGTAGCCCAGATAGGCCAGTGTACAACAGTGTCCAGCGTGGATCCCATACCGTCACTCAATTGGATAGATCAAGTAGTTTCCGTGAGACCATGGAGGGTGGTCCAGTCCTATCCTCTCTCCCAAACACAATGAGAAGTGCTTCTGTGCTATCACAGGGAGATGTGACAAATTTCCTCCAATGCTTGCGTTTTGATCCAAAAAATGTAGCAGCAGACCATAAAGCTAGTCGTCAAGGGGATTTTAGACGACACCTAAACGTTGCCCTTAATGTCTCTGTGGACGATTCCCAATCTGTTTCATCGAAAGGAAAGGTTACACAGGCTCCCACACCTGAGGAAATAAAGAGAGTCAGGGTTAGTCTTCGTGAATGCTCTGTGAAAGCAAGGTAGGGTTTCTAGATCTTCCAGTCCTTCCTTCTTGTAATTATTGCCTGATGTTTTTACTTGTTGATGAAATTTTATCTCAATGGCAGGGAGCGTATGAAGATCTTCAGTGAAGCGTTATCTGTATTTAACAAGTTCTTCCCAGCAGTACCCTCAAAGAAGAGATCTAGATCAGAAAGTTTGTCGAATGACCGCTCCGGTCCCTTATTATCTAGTGAACGTTCAGTTTTGGGCCAAAGCCTTAGTAAGATGGCAATTCAGAATCATGGTGTTACCAGCAACTTTGAGCTGGAACAGCAGAAGCTAGAAGAACGAACCAAAAGTGTTGTTCCAAACAAACGCACTCGCACTTCTTTGGTGGATGTGAGGGTTTGTATTCTGTTACCTTACTTCCTTGTATACATGAAATGGTGATTCCCCTTTGATTCGCCATCTTAATTGACTTGTGATTTCCATTTGAGTACCTTCTATGGAATTGTATGCCACTCTCTGAATGTGAACTACTACTTCCCTTTTTTTTTTGGTCTCCATGTTGATCACTAATGTGTCTAGTTATGTTCTCTACAAAGTGGTATTCTGGATTCATTTAGTTTTCATTCTGGGCTTTCCAGGCATGAGTTTGTGCTAATGGGTTTTTACTAGTTTCTCTGTTGGCTCTCAAGGGGCGTGCCCTTTCCTGCATCTACTTGCTTTAAAAAGAAATTTGGCTTTTATTTTAATGTGCAGAGCAATGCCCTTGCCAGAGCACCTGGTACTGCAGATCGAGATAGGGAAGTACTGAGGCTCGCAAGTAATGGCACTGTTCAGACTGACGAACGGACATTATCAATTGGTGTTGATGGTTGGGAAAAGACAAAAATGAAGAAGAAGCGCTCTGGGATTAAACCTGATGCTTCTGCAAGTTCAGTCTCCACAAAGCCCACTGACTTATACCGTGATCCTAAACAGGGACTGCAACAAAGAGCTGCTACTGACGCCCGTTCAAGGTTGAACAGTGACTCTCATGGTTTCAGGTGTGCAACTAGTGTCTGTTTATTGTTTCCTGCTGCATACATCTATAACTAAGGTGTTAAGTTGGTGCTTAATTGTTCAGAAACTTGAGGCCCCCACTTCAGTTGTTTTTGGCAACCTACTTGATAATGCTTGTTTGATTGAATCTACAAATATGATCAGATATAGTGAGGCAAGCAGAAATGATGAATATTTCTATCTGCGAGACTTTGGTGATTTTGATTCAAATAGTGGTGCCCTTTTTGTTTATTCTTTATTCCATCTTGCGATGTGGCATGGTCTCCATCTTTGGTTTAGCCTTGAAGCAGTAAGAAAAGTGTATTGGTGCTCAACAGCAAGAGTTAAAAGACCTTATCTACATATCCTCGTGATATTATAATGCAATTTTAAGGTGCTTTTTGAATTCTTGATCATGCTTATCAGTTCAATTTGCTATACTTTGTTGTACATTTACAAATCTTAGGCGTTTGACTACGAAGAACTTTCAGTTAAGATTTGACTTGCTTGGTGTATAACATGTTTGCGGGTTGTAAAGTTCTAGTAATTACCAGAACTGTGGTTTGTTCTGAAATGTGGACAATGATACTTACTAAGGTGTTCAAACAATTTGCTGGTTGCTTCCTAATAATTATAAAAATTAACTGTCCGCTTTCCATGCTTGATTCTTAGTTCATTTTGATATGCCCAAATCAATTTATTTTAGTCTTTATTCATCCGAGTTCAGCATTTGCTTTTTAACATGATCATGTACTCTTTTGATGATTACTGATTTTATATTTCAAACTTTTAGGCCAGGAGTTGCAAGTGCTGGTGGTGTTGGAAAACCCGACAGTGTCTCTCAGTCACCAGGCTTGGGCATGCGCTCATCCGTCCCTGAAAATGGTTCTGTTCTAAATGATAGGAGAGAGCGCCCAGTCAGTTCAGATAAAGAAAGGGCCAATATTAAAAGTGTTAACAAGTATGTGACACACCCCAGGCTCTGTTGTAGTAGGGATTGTGTAATATTATCCTTCAAATTTCAACCTATCTGCTCTCTCTCCTGCTCGCTCACTAGATAATGTTTACAGTCGTAATGCACTGACTTCCTTTATTGTCCATGATACTCAGGTCAAATGTTCGTGATGATTTAAACTCAGCTAGTCCTACATCAAGCACTAAAGTAAATCCATCTGTTCGAGCTCCCCGATCAGGCTCTGTTGGTGCACCCAAGTTGTCCCCGGTTGTGAACCGTGCAACTACTGCCAGTGACTGGGAGCTCTCCCATTGTACAAACAAGCCACCTGCTATTGGAGCTAATAACCGTAAACGCACTGCATCTAATCGTTCTTCGTCTCCACCTGTGGCCCAGTGGGCTGGCCAGAGGCCCCAGAAGATCTCTCGCACAGCAAGACGAACAAATTTGATGCCTATAGTTTCTAGTAATGACGAGGTTTCAGCTGTAGATACTGTATCAGATATATCCGGTAATGAAACTGGGATGGGACTTTCTACTCCCAGGCGTTTGTCAGCTGGCTCTCCTCAACAGATAAAACTAAAAAGTGAGCCCTT